AGAAACGTCAGCCTTCCTGCTCCTCTGATGCTGCTTGGCCTGCTGTGTTCATCCAGCTCTACACCTTTTTATCAAGGATATACAGTGAACCTGGTTACCTTAGAGTGGAAACTTAGTGTTAGCTGCAGACCAGAAATGTTAGATAAAACCTTAAGAGGTTACTCACATTTAAGTACATTGAAGCTCAGGTGTGTGATAGCTCCATAAACAAGCTAACTGCAGTTCCAGTTTAAAACTTCAAATCAGTGATTTTTGAGCTGACCAAGGTATTAGGTACAGGGATTCTGGTGTGAGTATATACAAGCGTGACTGTGACTGAGATGTGTTTTGGGAATTGTACGAAAGTTGTTTTGTTTCTTTGGGATAAATGGAACTATACTTTTACTGTGAATGTAAAATCTTTGAATTTGTATTATAAGTAGATAGTTTTGATTATTCTATTTTATCTGTCTTCCTTTTGTAATAAAATTCTTATTGTTAAAGAAAAAGCTGCAGCTTTATTTGGTCACGTCTCACTGGTGTAACATGCTGGAAATCAAACCCCATTATTCTTGGAGTCATCACAAAAGTTAAAGTTTTTTTTAAAGTACACAGCCTTCCGTATTTACCTGTCTTTTAGACCCAGATTGACAGAAAGCACAGACCAGGTTTCTGAACTGACAAGAATTACTAGTTATTACAAATAAATGGATCCTAGTTACAGGTAAATAATAATGAATTGTTCGCATATAATTTCATCAGTTGGAACTCTAATTCCCTTATAAACCTCCCCTTGTACATACACAGACAGAAAAAGAAATGGGTGTCGTTGACAGAGGGAAAAACTGGGAAAGCAGTTCAGAGATCTCTATTCATGGGGTTCATTGAGATGCTTCTTGTGCTGATCAGAACACTGCTTCTCAACTTCCTTCTGTGCGTACTTTCACTTATTTGCAGGAAGCAAAGGATCACTTGTAAATTTCTCTGAATTATTACATAAAACTCACAGCTTTAAGCAACTGCGGATGGGAAAATAAATTTGTTTTCCTCCAATTTGTAGATAGTTTACTACAGAGAACAGAGACATATGGATATCTGATGTCTTCACCCCTTCTTGTTAACAACCACAAGGGGTTGTGCTACCTGGGAGCCAATCACATAGTTGTTGGCGGGCAGAAGGCCTTTGCCATCAATAACTGGTCAGTATCCACTATCAATCAACTACATTTGCCAGCTGAATCACCATTTGTACACAGCCATTGATGCCAGCCTGTCTGCAAACCATCTCCTCCTGTTTGAACTAGCATTTGCAAAGCAGTTCATACAATAAGCTTGCAAAAGCTGCAATAGTCTGTCAGCAGACCTTCATTTTTAAAACAGTTCTTTTCCATTTCAGTCCACAATCAAAGATTAATTGAAAGAATGACACAGTCTTTCAAGTTTCTTTTGTAATAAACTTCTGTTCTACTGTTAAAGCAAAATTTGCAGCATTGCGTACTTTTGTATCAACAAGAGACCACTTTCTTTTCAACTAAAACAAATAAAAGCATAATCTATCAAGCCAGGTTCCTATTTAGGATCTGCCTTGTGTGATAATTAAATCAGCTGGGATCACAGCACCACTAGCCGTCTTTTACTACATTTGAAAGAAAACACAATGGAATTGGCTGGAATTCTAATATTTATGCGCATTGGTAGGCCATACAATGAATTATATTCCTTTGTTTCTAAGTAATAAGCCTGCCCTAGCCACCAAGCAGAAGAAAATCTAATGCCAATGCAAACAAAGTTGGCTTGGCAGACATGTTAGGTAAATGTTTGAAGGTCACATGGTGGTGGAAGGTGTGTTTTTTTTTATTCACTTGTGTGATGTAGGTGCCAGTGGGTGGGCCAGCGTTTATTATCTACTCATAATTGCCTTTGAGAAGATGGTGGTGAGCTGTCTTCTTGAACTGCAGCAGTCCACATGCTGTAGGTTGATCCACAATGCTATTTGGGAGGGAATTCCAGGATTTTGACCCAGTAATGGTGAAGGAATGGCAATATAGTTCCAAGTCAGGATGGTGAGTTGCTTGGAAGGGAACTTGCAGGAGGTGGTGTTCCCATTTAACTGCTGCCCTTGTCCTTTCAGACAGAAGTGATCATGGATTTGGAAGGTTCTGTCTAAGGATCTTTGGTAAATCTCTGCAGTGCATCTTGTAGCTATACACACTGCTGCTCCTGCGCATCGGCGGTGAGTGGGGAAGTAGAATGTTGGGACAGTGCATTAGAATGAAACCCTGAAATCTTTTCACTGGTTAGACAGATCTCTTAAGACCAGTGACGGTCATGTGCAACCAGCAGCATGTTACAACTGATAGATTGAAAGGCTGGGACCTCAACGGCAAATAATGCTTGGTAATCATGTGGAGGACTGCTTTTGGAAGGTTTCTCCCCATTATTTGATAAAATCCAGCCCATTATATCTAAATCTTTACCAAAACATAATCTGGTAGCCCAGATATT